ATTGGTATCTAACTACAGGCGGGTAAGTCTGACATGCATTATTGCAAAGGTATTGGAAACTATTATAAGGGATCAACTATTAGCTTATGTTGAAACAAATGGCTCGTTGGCTGTGGAACAGCATGTATTTCGACCAGGACGATCCTGCTTGACAAACTTACTATTGGCTAGGGAAGACTGGGTTGAGGTCAGAGATATGAACCATCTGTTGGACATGGTTTTTATTGATCTTAGCAAGGCATTCGACAATGTATCCCACTTAGGTCTCCTTAGTAAATTTAAAGGTTTCGGGCTAGACCAATGCCGATGTGAGTGGTTTAGAGATTACTTAATGGATAGAAGGCAGAAGATTAGAGTTAACGGTGTACTATCAGGATGGAAAGCAGTATCCAGTGGAGTGCCCCAGGGAACTGTATTAGGTCCATTGCTATTCCTACTATACGTTAACGAATTACAAGGGATTCTTACTTCATTATCATTTGCATATGACATTAAGATATGGAAAACTGTAAATAATTACGAGGATAGGTCGGCCCCACAAACTGATTTGGGTTAATTAGCTAAGTGGTCAAGCCTATGGAGTTTGGAAATCAATGCTAGGAAAAGCGCGGTAATGCACTTAGGTCAGAAGTCTTATATGTCGTACTCCCTAGGGGACGCAGAACTACCTGATGTTAACGAACAGAAGGACCTAGGAGTCATGGTCAGCAATGATTTGAAAACAACTGCAAATTGCAATGCAGCCACAGCTAAAACTTTTCCAATGCTATGGGCACTTCGAAGGGCTTTCAAACGACTAGACGACGGCACGTTCCAAATACTCTACGCAACATATTTTAGGCCTCATCTAGAATACTGCATACAAGCGACGAGTATATGCTTCAAAAAGGAGGCACATATTCTGGAAAGAGTACAGAGTAGGAACAAAATTAGTTGGTGGTATCTCACACCTTCCTTATGATAAGAGGATGGAGCATTTAAATCTCTTCCCGTTATCATACCGAAGAAGAGAGGCGAATTAATTTTAGCATACCGTATACTTAAGGGTGATTTAGGAACTGATCTTTCTAACCTTTTCTCCCCTTCTAGGATACATTTACGGGGTCACCGCAAAAAGGTGCTCAAACCGAGGACGATTAAAATACGTGCAGAATTTAGATTCTCTCACAAAGTGGTCAACGATTGGAACTCCTTACCTGATTCAGTAATATCATCGGTGAACGCTTTCAAAGATAAGTTAGATCTCTGCAGAGATATATTTTGCACAGGTCACAAGAGCCTTCTATCCTTATCATCTGAATGTGAAACTGAATCTAAACTAGGAGTCGCTGTAGTCCAGTCACTGTAACAAAGGGTGAATAAGCATAAACTACGCACACAAAAAATTCGCCCAAAAAATGAATTAAAAACTAGAGTCTAGAAAAAAAAAGATCAACTACAATAATGCATGCATATTGAAACAGATTTTCTAAATGTTGAATTACTCAGAAGAGGCTTTTATTCATATAAAAAAATGGGCTGACCTGTGGAGCCTTGCATAGTATAGTTTAACTACACTGAATGTGATAAACACACAAGAGAAAGAAAAGGCTTATCATATATGAATTAATACGTTCTCCATGCATCAAGCAACACTTAAATATACCGACTGACAAATATACACATGATAACAATTTATGATGACATGATGACACTTATTACACATGAAAATGATAACTACTTACATCAGTTCAACAGGTACTAATATTTACCGATAAATGACGCCTGTCTTTAAAACCTAAGGCTAAATATATATAAACAAAAAACGTGAACGGTACATATGAGATGACTATATCCCCCAACCGACAGTTAGGAAAAAAAGCGGCCCTTAATACATCTAAACCTTTACCAAAGATATAGTGGAGGAGATGCGTGGATGACACTCAGTATTAAAAAGCAGAACGTGTATCTTTAGTTTCACACATATAAACTCGATAGTGTAGACGGAATAAAACATATACACTGGAGTCAGAAAATGAACCGAGGAAAGTAGCTATGTCAGACTGTACAATAAAACGAAAAAGGAGGTAAATTATGCATAAAAAAAACCAATGCACTCCAGAGATCTTTAGACCCTAATTCATTTCATCTATTACCTGTAAAGTTTGGACTTAGTTTAGTGTCCGAAAAACCCACCAATACTAAGCGGTACGTCAGAAACAGGGGAAATCAATCGACGAAGTTGAGAAGTTATATCGACTGAGATGGCGAGGACATGTGTTACGCATCCCTGACTAGTCATCGCCTTCCTCGACTATGAACAATGTTATCTGACATAGAGTCAGACTGGAAAAGAGCTAGCGGTGGTCAAACAAAAACATGGCCTCACCAGTCAATGAAATCTACAACAGTTAGTCTAAGCCAGCCAATCACGTGGGAAGGTGTAGACTTCCTGACTGGTTGGGGTCCTCGCGACAGTAAAAACCAATGGTTGGAGACAATTGGTGATATGGCTCAAAATCGTCGTTCTCGGTGATGGCTGGTGCAGATGAATCCACTCCTTGTGATTTATGATTTCCAATGAAACTGTTTTGTTCTTCGTTATTACTCTTCCTTTGTCTCACACGTCTGTTTACTGTCTGTATTATGCTTTTCTTGTACTTTCTTGTGTTGATTTGTGTGCTACTAGGAGGAGGGAGTATGGCGACTTGAACTGGTGCACATATGTGCAAAGTTCTATGTCAAAAACAGACAGACAGACAGACAGGTACGTCGGAAAACCTAAATAACTAAAAGAAATAGGTAGGAGCTTTGGCACGAAATAATTATCTTAAAAATTCATTCATAAAATTCATTCAGACGATAACAAACGGTCGCAATAAAGGCAAAAAAATGTTAATGAAACTATCGACAATAACATAATGAACATAAAGGCACCGGCTGGTACACCCCACATAAAGAAGGGTTATGTGAAACCCTACATTTGATTATTAGTAAAGCAGCAAGGAATTAGGGCAGCATTTAAAAACCAAAACTTATTCGGAGGCAAACCTAGTAAGCTAAAGGACCCTGGTGACTGGACGTGACAGAAAAATGTAATCTAAACAATACCTTTCAATAACTGTGAGGTCAACTACACAGGTCAAACTAGTATATAGGGGGGTAGTCAGACAATCGGAACATAAGAATTTAGCTAAATGTGGAATGATTGACCTCGAAAAGATAAATAGTTTAGAGAAAAACTCAGCAGTCGAAATGCATGCATTAACACACACAATCACAATAGGGTTGGACAGAGCCACATTTCTGCAAAGTAATATGAATAGGCGGAAATAGAGGTTAATTACACTGAATCCTTGTTCATCGAATCCACACCTAACTCGTGCAATAGGAAGGACACAACGCCAATAACACATATGGGAAATGTTACTACCTTTAAAATCAAGGAATAAGAAACAGAGGAAACACATAAATTAAATTGAAAGATTATGTGGGTGCCTTGATATGATCATGAGCAATAATTTGTGCTCGAAACGTCATCGGTAAGTACTACCGTACTGACTTCAGCACCGGATGGGGCGGATTACAATCCTAAACAAATTTTTTATGGTTGGGAACGCAACCTGCTGTTAATACGGGATATGAAAGGCTGGATCAGTGAAGACAGTTAAGCATGCAGTGAGGCGGCAAACTCACTAGTGATAAATCAACCAAGCAGCTTGAACAAGGTGGAAGGTAAAAATATATAATCAAAAACACTTGCATTTATACGGAGTTGAAGAGGAACCAAACCAACCTATTGTGAGGGCTAATGATGCCAGAAAGTTGTACAAAAAACGTCTGTAGATGAAGCCCTAATAGGACAGATGACCCAGCGGTTGGAAGTCGGACGCTTAAACTGGTTACAGCTCTACTTAGTGGATATATATATATATGTACGAGGTTTACTTAGTCTTAATATTTGTTTTGCTTAGAAAAGAAGTCTAATTGCTTTTCAAACAATCTCAGATGGTTTCACTAGGTTGCCAGTGGATAGGAAAAATATATCTACCGATACAAACTAATTTCGTGAATATTCAGAATCTGGTACAAGCAAGGTCCCGCGAATAACTAACTTCTTATGACCATTTGATTAATTATCAAAACACGACGAAATCTATATTTATCTAAAGGGCTTTTCACAGCTGATACACAGACAGTAGAGCTACCCCTTGCACCTAATGTTAAAAAAGTAGTATTTAAGTCCTCAAATCGTACCTACACCCTAGTTTACCACCCTATTAAAAATATATTTAAGATCAAAATTATTCATAAAGGAGAGCGCAAGTATATTTCCAGCTAATCCGAAACATGACAAGCTAGGAATGATATGATTGGCACAATTCACTGAATTACGGAATACAAAAACAAAGATATTTACAGCGGATTAATTTTGGTTCCTGAGGTAGGTACTACTGATGTCATGATACAAAACCGGACTAACAACAGGCGTGGGGAAATGCGCTACTGTTTTTACTATCAGCACCAATGCAAGTAGAAAATGACAATCTGCAGACGTTCACGGAGAAGTAAAAGGGTCCCGAAGTGGGACCCACATAAGCTCCCTAAAAACGCAACAAACTTAATCTTATTTGTAGGGTACACTATCCAACACTATTACACTATTATCCAAATATTCATTTGGAAAGAACCCATTTTGGTGATATGATCGGTACTGAAGTGTAAGTTTTGTTACATGTCCCAATGGTTTTTAGTAAAAGAGACCTTCCCACCAAAATAAAAAGTAACATTTGACAAACACCTGATTGTCATACAAGATCAGTGTTTCTATCGTGATTCTAGTCGTTCGAAAATATGCAAAACACGATTAAAATAGCAGGCAAAGATAATGCATCTGTGGCGAGACATTATAACAGAGAAAACACGATGCTCAAAATTCACAGAACATAAATCACTAACTAAATATCAAACTCGAAGTAAATTATTTTCTTTATGAATTAAAAATACTGTCACGCACTTACATGCTTCCAGTCCGTCATATATGGTAGTTGAACAAGGCCAGCACTGTCAACGAAGTCACTTGGTTTAATCTGCATAGTGTTTGTAGGTCTTACATACACCATGGGGGACTTGTTTGGATAGACTTCAAACAGAAATATAGCAATCGGAATGTTATACGTGGAGCCCATATAGCGGACTGGTATAGTGCCGTCTAGGCTCACGAGTTTTCTAGTGGTTCCATCATTGTGGACTGTAAATAAATTACGTTAGGAATGGGACGTACTGAAATCCTCAAATTTAGGACGTAGCTCCTTATACGCCTCCAACGCAGAAGTAACATCTCTGCGCACGACTTGTGGGTTTGTGTACTAATTAAAATGATTAGACGATGATGACTGTGGCAGTTAGAACATACTTTAGCCAAGCTTCTAGCAAAAAACCGATCATAGGTAGACATTGGGTACAGACTGAATTTGCCACACTGTGTAGGTCGATCTCCTCAAGGTGACGTCCAACATCCAATATTTCAGAATTCGTATTTAAAAGCGACGTAATTATTTCCCATTTTCTGAACCTTTGATATTGAGGAAAACCTAGGTGATAGTTTATTTTTTATTTCTTTCCCTAGTTTAGCCTCAGGATAATACCGCTCACCGTTAAGGTCATGCTGGAGTCTAAGATGAGTATGTGCGTTTCCCCTAAAAAAGCCGCTGTGTAATTACACAGCCAATAGGTGTATCATCATACAAATGTATCTGAGTAGCCCTCGGTCTCACAAAAAACCTACCTTTGCTTAACATGACCGTGAGTTATGGGGACTACCGCACTGTACACTAAGATACACAGGAAAAGGCGCCGACCTCATCATGCTGTATCCCGGTCCCGATTACGACGCATAAAACATATCCTGTTAGATGTACTAGGCTCACGATCATCCAGTCATCGAAACCTAATAGTCGGCGACTTCAAGGATCCACACTTTGTCTGGTCGAACACTACAACACCTTGTTCAAGTAATTCCTTTGACCACAAACTGTTCCAATTTGTCGTAAAACTAGCTCTAGTACAGCATATCAAGAGGCCTACGCGCTCTGATCCACAGCCAACTTCGCCACCACTGACTGGGGGTCGAATAGCTTAAGGATGAAAATGACATACTAGAGCCCAAGAAGTTGTCAGGTCAGTCCAAAGAATGAATGCTCCCAGTCATGGGAATAAGCTCATATTAAATGGATGGAATACTAGTACGGTCGTCTTAGACGGATGGGTGCGTAAATATCATAGTAGATCACGACTTGAAAACTACACCACACTATTATGCGATGGCATCTTGCGGTTTTAGATAGTTATGGATATTACAGTGAACCTGTACTGGTGAAATGTCCACAACATTACGGTTAACTCTAGTGAGTTCGTAACTAAATAACTGCATCCATGCAGCAAATCTCTGTCTTTCAGAGGAATACCACATGTATAAATCTTGGCATGAACAATCTATCGTACGATGAAAGACCGCACACTCTGGATCTCTTTTCCCTGTTGACATTAGGCACAGAAACCTCATTGCAGTGTTCAAAATTCTGAGAAATGGATAAAGACAGGATCTACCATCTCCCTTCCGTCCTTTCAAACCAGAAAATCTCGAAGGACAGGGACCCAGAGTTCAAAAGCCTAGCAGAAATCACGTCATTAGTTCTTCGAACCAGTTCACAGAAGAATTGGTGCCCTATAACTCAGGTGACTTCTTCAGGGAGGAATCAGACAAAGACAGATACTTATTAGGATTGGATCAACATTGTTTTGAAGCTTTCTATCCTCAGTCAAAATTTGATTCTTATTTGATATCCCGTAGTGGCACTCCCAGAAAAAACGTAGGCACCTCAGTCAACAGCTAGGTTAACGTGCCAAGTAGTCCACAATGGGAGGCTAACTGAGTCATCTAGAATGATATTTCTTATTGCGGTGGACTGGATCGTGTGGCGGAATGTAGAGAGTGGGACAGGAATATGTTTGGTGGACAAAAGGACTGCAGGAGATCGTGACTTTCATTCGATTTGTTTCCCGCTACTCATTAGGTTGGAGATTTACAAGTGAAAACTAACAAGATTGCAGAAGGGCGAAGCAGACAATGATTGTAACGAACATAGAGAAAACAGAGTGATATCGAGGCTCGACAGACAATGAACGGCAGTTATCATCTATCATAATTATAGCCACTAGTTGTGATTCATGTCATGAGTTAAAGATAGATTAACTGTTAGCACTGAGTAGCCCGTATGAATAATTCAGTTACTGAATAAATGGACTGGAAAAAGAGGTTAGCAAGGCGAAGAGACACGTGAACTCATGATCACAAACCTTCGTTTGCCCTTCCTAAAGTAATTGATCCCCGCGTGAGATTCAGCCCTACACGTGTTCAAGGTGAATTCCTCGACTTTAGTCCTGGATGATCCAGATCTAATTCAGATGGGGAAACATATTAGTTGTAGGTGTGAAAAGATCCTACTAATGAGTGCCGATGAGCACATTACCAAGATTCAGAGATTTATTTCCATATATATATAATGTTGCACCACGCAGTACTCGTTAGTTCCCTGATTTTCAATGGCTGTCTAAACGATTTCCATTTTTGACAAAATGTGCCTGAAAACCTGCCCGCGTAAATATGCTGTTCAAATCCCTACAAACCACTCTCCGTCTTCGCTAACCGAGGAAAAACCAGCCGCCACTCTGTAAGTGGCCGGGAATTATCAAGGACCAACATGGCGCCTCTTGCAGTGTGTTTGGATTGCCAACTTTTTGTAGCCAGTACTTGATGCAAACACCGGAAGAGATAAGGTTTGACTTGAGTTTCGACGCAAAGCACCACTATATAGTACGTCCTTATGGAAGGTGTCTATAGAAAACTGTATGTCCAACGTAGCTACCATAAGAAAGTGTGAAAATTTGGCAAGTTCGTAACTTAGGATGTTCCAATCATCTGAGCACTTTGAGTAGGTCAAAGGGATAAGTCACAGTAGAACTAAGCGCAATGGTAGGTGAGAATATTCTTGACCGAAGCTGGGCAGAGGTATTTATTCCTAATTGATTTTGCTACACCTCACATCGTAATTATTCGCCCAACGCACATTCCACTTCTGTGTATTTCTTATCTCTAGAGTTTCAAACTGCGCCAACTTGCAGTAGTGCCTTCCAGTTCAAGTTTCTTTGTCGATCCATTTCACTTCCTATCGAAACATTCAGTACGCAGCACCAAACGCTGCGACCTGCAACTGTTTCCTTTTCATATTCGCTCACTTTTTGCTGGAACTAAAGACTTTATGCCCAGTAAATACAAAACAACAAAAGGAAAGGTGGAAGTTCAATATCTCAGCAACAAATAAATGAATCTGAGTAAACTTTTCAAATACATCAGAACGAGGAAACTATATACAAGCCACCATCAGTTTAAATTTTGAGTCATCTTGGATAGCGTCGTAATTCATCAGGGAGACGATTTCTTCATAGCGCACGGGACGACAAAGGACTGGGAATATCACCCTGGGTTTCAGCATGCTGTCTCATATTTCGTCTGTCAGTTACATAGCAACACCAACAAAGCTGTCAATGGAGTTGAAGATTGAACGATCAATTCTTGGTTGTTTGCTCAAAATCAACTTCCCCAATTTTCGCGGAGGCATCAATACGACAGTCATCGTCTCATCGGTCGCTGTTCAGAAAGAAGAGTGAAACATCGTCAGAAGTAATCTTGTGATTTATTATTGTAATATTTGTTCACAGACCTTAGTTCGCTTATCCTTTTTATATGTTGGTGTAACAATAAAGAAATCTCAAGCGGCCAATCGGTGTTTTGGTTTTTCGTCCGTTATAACTAAGCGTTTCTGAAAACTTCAAGGAACAGCGTGGGCACGAGCGTAGCAAGAGCTGGGCATTAACGGTTTATGAGACGTGATTGACAGTTTCTGACGATGGAAACAGATCTGGCGGATTCAAACAGTTGGTGAAAGTTTGGATAGTCACCGTTCATCTTTCCTGGTGCCGGTCAAGTCCTCTTTGAACAAGCAATATCTGGAACTTTTTTGGAATTGGGTCAAGTTCAACAATGCCTGGGTCAAAGAAGGGACAGAGTTTCTTGGATGCAAACAGGAAAGTAAGTCATGGTGACTTGTCTGTTAATTGTAACGATGTGTCTGATGTTAAGCATGACATGGTTGATGTTACTGTTTCGCCGTTCAGGGTTAATAGGAACATCAAACTCCCTAAATTTGAACCACGGTGTTTCGATAGAAACCCGGCCGATTATTTACAATTTGTAAAGGAGTTTGAGATCATGCTGAGTAGTTTTCTATTAAATGATGAAATGAAGTTAATGTATTTGATGAGGTATTGCACTGGAATTGCTGCAAGAGCTATACAGTGCTGTAAGTTTATGAAGCCAAAAGAGGGCTACTACGAGGCTATGAGCATACTACGTCAAAGGTTTGGAAGACCTTCGATGATTGTAGGGAAATTATTCGAGGCTGTTAAGGGTAATGGTGGTCAAATACAGGATGACTCCCAGGCACTCACTGAGTTTTTGGATAATTTGCTGATTTACAGGAATGCATTGATTTCGATGAATTGCATGAGTGACCTCAACTCGAGTTTTATACTAGAAGTAATAGCAAGACGCCTACCTACTCGACTGCAAAGGAAGTGGGTGAAGATAAGCTCCCGTATGGAGGATGAGAGTATCGAGCCAAAGTTTGATGATATCCTGAAACTGGTAAACAATAGTGTCAATCAATCTATGAGCAAGTTTGCCCCTGTCTATTGCATCTCACCCCTAGAATAGAGCAGTCTGAGGGCAAAACGCAATCATTGATGACGAATAGGCCTCAGAGAGGTGGATATGGAGAAGGCTCCATGATGTCTAGTAATGCATATAGACCTAGTGAGTGTAACAGGTTTCGTAGTACATCCTCAACAGATAAGTTACAAGATGCAAGACAAACACGGTTGTGTTTTACACGTTTGAAAGAGGTGCATACAAAGATGCACTGTGAATCAGTGAGCAAGTTTAGGAATAAGGAAAATGTGAAATCAAGGTCTGACTCCGATTTGTGTGACGATAACGCTGCGGTCAAGAAGTCTGTAGTTGCAACTGGTAAACCATTGTTGAATAGAGTGTCACAGCATAGAGTTACTGCTTCAGAGTCCAGTTCTGACTCCACAAGTTTACAAGGTATTACTAGTCAGAGTGAAGTTATAAAGCCTTTTAGGATTTGCGAGAAGGAACCGAAATTGTCTACTTCTGTTATTAAAGAGTTTGAAAATGATGAAATTGACGGTAAAGTGAATATTCGTGATAATGATCATGATACTTCACAGTTGTCTTTGGTTGATCATGATGAAATGAGGGGAATGCCTATTACTGCTAAGTTGAACAAAGGTTCTGTACAACTTGAACGTGAAGTAGAAATAAATGCAGATGCAGTTGCAGAAGGCATGCATACTTGTGAGACAGTCAGTGTG